GGACCGTCCTGGGGGCCATTTTGGAGACCTCTCAGGCGCTCTTGGGGTGATCTTGATGGCCTCTTGGGCCGTCTTGGGCCGTCGGAAGCCCGAAGCGAAGGCCCGAGCCACTTCGGGCCTTCTGTGGGTCCTCTTGGAGGCCTCTTTGGAAGTCTTGGAGGCCTCTTTGGGTCTTAGTATGCCTCCTCGGGCCATCTTGAGGACATCTTGGGTCGTCTTGGATGCATATTGGGCCGTCTTGAAGACATTTTGGCGCCATCCTGGACTCTCTTGGGGCCACCTTGGCCGTCCTGGAGGCGTTTTGGGACCATCTTGGAGGCGATCTTGGTCGTTTGGGAGGCCACCCGTGAGCCGAACACCGGTGCTCCAGAGGTTTCTCGGTTGGCCGGAGGGCTGGGCCGATCCCCCTTCATGGGAGTTCTTTGGGCAAAAACCGCAAGGATGCACCCCTTGGCAAGCCAAAGGGGGCGTCGGATGTATTGGCCTTCGGCCCAACCCGCTGCCGTATCTGGGTCTCTTGGGATGCCTCTTTGGGGTCTCTTGGGATGCCTCTGGGGAGTCTCTGGGACGCAGTTTGGCAGCCTTTTGGGAGGCGTTTTGGGGCCTCTTTGGGGCCTCCTGGCGGCTTCCTGGGGCCCCTTGGGAAGGGCAGCGGTATGTGTATCTTTTCTTCCTTTGACCCGCACGCCAAAGCTAGCAGGTGCGCAGCCGGCTGCTGGCGGCGCAGGACTTCTGCACTGGCAGCCAGCAGATGTGGGCCGAGGAGGCGCAGCGCCAGGAGGCCCCGTCGCCCGTGCTGCAAGCAGTGCTCGCTTTCGGGGGTTGCTGCTTCATTTTTCGCGCAAGCCAGCCGAGCAGTCCTTCGCAGCGCCACGGTCGTGGGATTATATTGTTTCCCAAACTAATTTGTTGTTGGGTCCTCGTTTTGGCGAGAGGGTCCCCGCGTCTCCTATTCCTCCTCTCCTCCTGCTCACCTCCCCCCCTCCTCCCTCCTCCCGTCCCGCCTCTGCGTCCCCCACCCAGCACAGCGCTTCGTGGCCCAATAGGGAGCTCCACTGAAGGCCCCAGTGGCGGTGTCCACATGCATCCCCCCCACCCAGCACAGCGCTTCGTGGCCCAATAGGGATAGGGAGCTCCACTGAAGGCCCCAGTGGCGGTGCCCACATGCATCCCCCCCCCAGGACAGCGTTTCGTGGCCCCGTAGGGAGTTCCACCTAAGGCCCCAGCGGCGGTGTCCACATGCGTCCCCCTCCAACCCAGCACAGCGTATCGTGGCCTCATAGGAAGCTCCACCCGAGGCCTCAGTGGCGGTGTCCACATGCGCCCCCCCACCCAAACACAGCGTTTCGTGGCCTCATGGGGAGCTCCACCTGAGACTCCAGCGGCGGTGTCCACATGCGTTCCCCCCACCCAGCACAGCGCTTCGTGGCCCAATAGGGAGCTCCACTGAAGGCCCCAGTGGCGGTGTCCACATGCACCCCCCTCACCCAGGACAGCGTTTCGTGCCCCATAGGGAGCTCCACCTAAGGCCCCAGTGGTGGTGTTCACATGCCTCCTTTCCACACCCAGCACAGCGATTCGTGGCCCCATAGGGAGCTCCACTGAAGGCACCGGTGGCGGTGTCCACATGCGCCCCCCCACCTAGCACAGCGCTTCGTGCTCCTGTAGGGAACTCCACCCAAGGCCCCAGTGGCGGTGTCCACATGCACCCCCCCCAACCCAGCACAGCGCTTCGTGGCCCCATAGGGAGCTCCACCTGAGGCCCCAATGGCGGTGCCTAAGTGCGCCCCCCCACCCAGCACAGTGCTTCGCGCTCCTATAGGGAGCTCCACCTAAGGCCCAAGTGGCGGTGTCCACATGCGCCCGCCGCACCCAGCACAGCGCTTCGTGACCCCATAGGGAGCTCCACCTAAGGCCCCAGTGGCAAAGTTCGCATGGTTCTCCCCCACCGAGCACAGCGTTTCGTGGCCCATAGGGAGCTCCACCGAAGGCGATACCCACAACTGCGGTACTCGCAACTGCATATGGTTTGGCCCTCTGCCAGGCTAGTTATCTGGCGTTTCTGGATGTTCCCACAGGTCTGCCCGCCTCGGTTTCATCTCCTCATGTGCGCCTTGCCGAGGGGAGTCCAGTGGTGCCCAGACTGTCCCTGACGGCCGCCACAGAGCCGAGTTGTGGTCCAGAAGCCAGGGACATGCTCTAATGCACGAGATGCGCGATGCGATGGCGAACAAGCGCTGGAGAATGGTGAACGTGAAGAATGGTGAACATGATCACGATGGCATTACCGCCTCGTCGTTGCCAAGTCTGTTTCCCCTGTCCGGGCCTCTCGTCTGCAGCTTTCTCACGATCATCGGGTTTCTCATCACGCCCTGTTCGTAAAAGGCATTAGGCGTTCCATAAAGGGCCTCACCTTCGATGATCGAAGGAGTTGGCATCTCATCCTCGGCAGAAGGCCAGCGTAATCAGGCGGAAGTGAAAGATGCGCCCCCCAAGAGGTGACAATATTCTTGACCGACCGCACGGCCTCTCGGGGCACCACCCAAAAATTGCCACCGTCGACTGCTGGGACAGCCTTGCTCCGGAGGACAACATCCGCGAGCTGAGCCTCCGGCACAGGAGCGCCACCAACGAGGTGCGCATGTACCAGGAGCAGGAAGACAGGCCACCCTCGGCGGCCTTTTGACTCTCGGACCAGCGGTCGTGTTGCAGGCGTGGAGCTCCGCTGTCCGGGCGTTGTTGGGAGAGGTCCTCTCAGGGCCTCCTGCGGGCCTGTGGGGGCGACTGGGGCCGCTCAGAGGCCCCTCTTCGGCCGCCTTCGGGGGCCGATTGGGCCGTCCGAGGGCCCTCTTGAGTCACTTTGGGGCTCCCAAGGAGGCCTCCGACGCCATCTTGGGGTTTTTTTGGTGGCCTCTTGGGCCTTCTCGGGGCGGTCTGGGGCGCCTCTCGGGCCGTCTGCGTCCTCTTGGAGCCTTCTTCGGCCGTCTTGAGGGCCTCTTGGGCCGTTCGGAAAGCTTCTTGGGCCGTCTGAAACCCCTGGAGGCCGTCTTGGGAGTCTCGCGGCACAGTCTTGGGCCGTCGGGCTGGCTCAAGACAGGCTCAAGGGCCCAAGGCAGTCTGCCATAACCCCGACCAGGAGCCCTGCCCAGGGTGGGGTGTCGCCTTTCTGCGTGTCCTCCTGTTGCCCACCCCCGCATCTCCACTTCCGATGGCGATGCGCTGCTGGGTCTGCGCAGCCAGTGGCGTCGAAGGCCCCGCCATGCCGGGCGCGCGGGTCTGTGCGGCACACGCTATGGGCAGCGGGACCAGCGACGCCCGCGGTGGTCCCACCGCCAGGCTTGACCAGAGCCGCCGACTCAGACGCCGGCAGCACCGGCTTGACGCAGCCCACCACCGACCTCACCATCGGCGACATCGACATCAACGTCGCCGAGGCTGGCGATGCGGCGGGCGCAGTCGCTGGGACGGCCCCGCCTGCAGCGGTTGAGCCCATCCAGCAGCAAGCCACTTCCGCAACTTCGAGTGCGATGACAATCTCGAGCCGCTTGCTCGCCGACTGGGTCGAGGATGATATTCTCAAGGAGTTCGATCTGGTTCAGGGCGTCGCCGCCGTCCGCGACAACCACGACGACGGTGTCTCCATCGTTAACCCCCACACTTGGAACCAAACACACTATCCTGAAACAGCTGGCGTTCGATGTAGAAACGATTGATCACTGGCAGGCTTTTTTGGGTTGTCGATGTATGAGGGCACCGACCTACGAAGGTCGGGATCGCGTCCAGACTGCGGACAGTATCGCTCTGGTTCTCGATGTCATCTCACTCCAGTTGGGCCGCAGATGACCGGCGAAAGCTCAAGTTGTTTGGCATGCGTTTCGAGACACATGCTAGGACCTGCGCCGAGGAGTTTGACGATGTGCTTTCGCAGCGTCGGAAACTACATTCCAACCGCATCCCCCTCTGGAAGGAGCTGGGCCCCAAGGCTATCGAGACCCTCAGGCAGGACGGCGGGAGTGACAACACGTTGTACCTTACACAGTGGTCTGGGATATTTGACTCCAGCTTGTATACGCGTAGCCAGCTCAGGGACATTCGGGACTTCGCCGCTCTGGTCGAGAAGGGGGGTGACAAGATCTGGGACAAGGTGCAAGGTAAGCATGTTGTCATGTGGGTTCCTAGTGATGCGAATGCCGCCTCTCGGTGCCGAGCTGCTCTTCTTCGCCGTGCTGCTCCAGATCGCCGTCCCACTTCCCTCCGTTTTGTCTCGGAGATCCCTCTGCTCCCAGCCATGGAATCGGCGTCTAACATTACTGATGTGTGGTGATCCCCGGTGCTTGGTGACAAATGGGCGTCGCTTGTACGTGGATGCTCCTTCACTTCCGCTCCCCTGGAGGTGGTTATTCCTGGACGGGGCGGCCCGAAACATACGCGGACAGGCCGAGAAATATTCTCAATCTCGTATGATGGTCCCAGGTCGACCCCGCATATGCTCAACATACAGGTTCCCCTGCTCCACGTCGCGAACCAGAATGTGCTGGTTACCCACATGAGGGGTGACATTTTGCTTCAATTTCTCGCCTTCATGCGGGGCCCGCAGCTGCGCGAAATCGTTACACGCGCTCCGCGTTGCAGTCCCGCCAGCACGCCTGACGTCCCCAGGGTCTGCGTTCATGTTGTTGTTCCCGGATGTTTTTTCTCGGATGTCGACATTCTATTGCGCTTTGGGCACCTCCGACACAGCTCATTTCCGGTGGGGATCATGCACGGCCTGAGGTCGATGTACGCCTGTTCGGACGCTATGATCCTTGCGCTGACTAGCTCCACGTGTGCACCTTATTGTTGGCCTGTGTGTTCGCAGCCTCTCCCGATCAGCGGCTCCAGAGCGTTTTTGTCTTCGGAGGCCCCCCCGGGCACGTGGACAGAGGTCATCGATCAGGCGTTTGTTGCTGACGCGAGTTCGGCGGCTACGAGGTTGAGGTGGAGACCTTCGCGGTACGGAGGCCGCCCAATTCTCCCCCCCTCTGCTACAGCGGCGGCCTTGGCGGCCTCGCGGAGGAAAGGCAACGCAAGCGCCTCCCAACTCGATCGCATCACCGAGGTTAGATTGCAAGGCGAGGTTTGGCGAGAAGATGGCCACGTCCTCCGTCAGCTTATGACCCACGTCTGCACAACCGTGGGGTTCGTTACCCAGGAAACAGACTGCTCTAGAGGCCCCCAGCTTGGCGAATACGTGCGTCTTGCTTCTTCCCATGCTAACGCACCGCCAGGCCGCCTTCGATTTCACCTCCAGGGCGCCGACGAAGTACGCCGAGTACATGTTGCATCCCACGAACAAACCATTAAGGTGGGTCAGGATCTCGTCGCCATCGACGCCAACGATGTTGTCAGCTTGGGACCCCCCCCGGGGAACGGGGTGCGTAGGCGGGCTTAGGTGCCGCCGACCCTCGCGAACCGCATCGGCACTAGCCTGCCTTTGGGCATTGTTTTGGAATTCGTTTTATCGAGGGCGTGGGCGCTGGGGGTTGGATTCTCGAGGCCGTCATCTGGCTCCGTCCTGCCTCGACAAAGGCGGGCTATGCTGCCCGTCTTATTATTTCCCATGCGGCGCCGACTTCTTCCAGCTCTTCTTCTTGTCTTCCTTCATCGTCAACCCGTTATTGGAGAGGCCTGGCGGCCGGCGCCGCCGACCCTGATCGAAAGGGCTAGGAGTGGGGGGAGGAAGCGGATGATGAGGAGGAGGAGGGGGAGGAGGAGGAGCAGGAGGAGGAGGAGGAGAAGGAGGAGGAGCAGGAGGAGGAGCAGGAGGAGGAGGAAGAGGAGGAAGAGGAGGAGGAGGAGGAGGAGGAGGAGGAGGAAGTGCATTTTTTGTGTGCCCGCTCGAAGAAAGTGCGCCCCGGGAGTGTGATATTCTGGCTTGGGACGTGCTCCCGGAAGAGGAAGAAGTGCATCTCGGGCGTGCCCGCTCGAGGAAAATGCGCCCTAGGGGGGTGGTATCTTGACTCGGGGCCCGCTCCCGGGACGCCTCTGCGGGAGGAGGAGCAGGAGGGGGGGGGGAAGGAGGAGAGGAGCAGGAGGAGGAGGAGGAAAAGGAGGAGGAGGAGGAGGGGGAGGAAAAAGAGGAGGAGGAGGACCAGGAGGAGGAGGAAGTGCATCCCGTGCGTGCCCGTTCGAGGAAAGTGCGCCCCAGCGGGCGTCGTGTCTGCCCCCCCCCCCCCCCTGCGGGGAAGGGATCAAAGGGAAGGGGCTTCCCTTCGACTCCACTACGACGCTGTTTAATTTCGCTTTGGATAGCGCGCTTGAGGAGGAGAGCCCTGGGAGGGGGAGAACGGAGACGACGGAGACGACGAGTCGAACGGAGAAGCCCCTCACACACGCCGACAGGGTCGACGGACTCGCCGTGCCAGCCCGCATGCGACCGCAAATTCCATCAAATCCCACCTCTCAATTTCAGCGTGAACGGTGTGCTTCCAGAGGACCTGAACGCTCTCCTGGGCTCCGATACCCCGATCAGCACTTATCGTCGACAGCGCCTTCGGCGAGCTTTGGGCGACCCCCCTCAAGCGTTGGCCTACCTCATGGGCGTTCCCTGCCGGCGGCTTCTTCCGCCGCCCCCGATAGCAGACGCGGGCAGTGCCGGGGTGGCGTCTCGGCCGTCGCGCGGGACTCGCAGGCACTCTTTGCGACATGTCCTGCCTGGCGCGAGTCCCAGATGAAACGTCTGCAATCATTGCTCCAGCGTTCGCCCATCGTTATGACCACAGAGGCGCACGGCACCAATGGGGGCAACCAGGCCTGGCGCTCTCCCCATGGATGTCTGGCATGGTCGTCGGCTGGCCCTACTCCAACACCCGCGGGGGTCGGCATAGTCGTGCGCAGCGACCTTCTGAAAGAGTTCGATGCTTCTCCAACCTGGGCCGTCATCTCGCCACGTCGCGCTGCCAATTTTTTTTGGTGGGGCCGAGCGGGGGCCTGGATCTTTTGGTCGTTTATTATCATGCTGGGGGTGTTTTCCACGAACATGATTTGCATGGTGTTCACCCCGATTTCCTCCCAGGCGCACGACGGTCCCAGCGCTTCGGGAACGTCTGCGCCACCGGACTTCACGCGCTATCGCGCGCAACGAGGTCGCGTTCACGGTCTTAGGTGGCGACTTCATCTGGGTCGCGCACGACGCAGACAGGCGCTTGCTGAATGCATCGCGCACTTCTGGGCGGAGTGGCGCCGCGGAAGAGCGGCACCTTCAGAGCATGATCGGCCGCCCTTTCGAGATGCGCGACATGTGCCAGCCGGATTTACCCGCGCCTCTGCATCGGCGCGTTGGCGCGTTCACGATTGGGCAGGATATATAGCAATCGACGCACGTCGGAACAGTAGGATCGCCACATGAAGGCCGCTGCTTTGGAGTGGAACCCACGGCTTTCTGCTCATCCCGCATCTTTCCTCTCTCGGCAGAGCGTCCGGATTTTCACCGCTGACGTCGTCGAACTGCCGCGCCAAAGTTCAGCGGGGCCCAGCTTCGACGAACATCGAGCGCCTCCGCTTCTTCAAGACGGCCATGAAGGAGGTCGCGGCCCGCCTGCGCACTGCCGCCGGCCCCCCTTCGGAGACAGTCCACTTGGAAGACCGGCTCGGGGTCGCCATGCAATTTCTGCGGGCTTCCGAGCGGGGTTTGCTTGGCGATGTGTCAGCTTGCGTTCGTCGGTGCCCTTGCTTGAAGGAGCTCGTCAACAATCCTTGCGATGCGCACGGGTGCCTCGCGGTGAAACTCAGGATGGTCAGGGGTCATGCTACGGATCTCGCCTGTGACCACGCGCTAGACAAGGTGACCAGACGCGGGCTCTGTCCACCGCAAGCAAAAATATACGAGATTGCGATTCAAACTTGCGCCTGGCCGGTCGGGATCCGCGAGCGCAATCTTGAGTGGCACGGGCGAGATCTTGACCGACAACGACCGCGTGGCTACAGAGCTCGGGAAGCATTGCGGCGCCGTTTTTCGAGCCCGTGGCATTGACGAGGATCTTCTACCCAGATGGCTAGACACTGACGTCGCCAATCGTTATGTTGCCGAGTGGCCCCCATTTCCTGAACAGGACTTCCGGCTGCGACGGCGGCGCGCTGCGCTTGCTCTTCGGCTCTCCAACAATTCGGCGCCAGGGCCGGGCTTCGCCCCATTTCCAGCGTGGCGTCGCCTATCGAAACTAGCGACCCCGGCGCTGCACAATGCTTTCTCAGATATGACAGCAGGCGGCGGCCGCGATCGCACGGCCGACATGTTGTGCGTTTTTAATTGCAGCCCCCCCCGCTTCCTCCCGAACAAGGCGTCTGGGGCTTCCGACGACGGCGCGAGTTACTACACAGCCGAATTCGTGAAGCCGTTAAACATCATGAGCGCAGACAATCGAGTACTGGCTAGCGCCGTTCGCTTTTTAATCGTGCCATTGGTGTCTCGACGAATTCCCCCATCGCGTGGGGGCTTCATTACAGGCCGATCTACGTTTGTCAATGTAGTCGACGCCCATGAGGCCATGGCCGAGGCTCTCCTGGAGGACGCCGCCGCCGCTGCCTTCTTCCCCGATTTTGCGGCTGCATTTCCTTTCGTGGAACAAGTTATGTCGCGCCGATTGTTTGCGCCATTGGGTCGGCCCAGCTGGCTACCCCGCTTCGCCCGCATCTTGTGCAAGAGCGGAGGTTGGATTACCCCGGGTTGTCAGACCCGCATGCGGGATCTCTATTTCCCCGCGGAAATGGTCGATGCGGCATTTCGTTGCCTCGCCGCCCGCGCGCGGGCTTTCCGTCATGAGGACGCCGCGAATGGCGGTTTGCGAGTCGTTGAGCGGGCGGGGGAGACTGCGCGCGGCAATGCGCCGCCCGGCCGATGAGCAGAAAGTGCGCGCTTACCGCGCCCGGTTTGATCGCCGGCGTTTGCAGCGGCAGCCGACAAGCTGAGAAGCAAGGGGGCTCGGCGCCTTTCTTCGCCGTCTTTGCTCGGCAGGGACAGCCTGCCGTTGCGGCGCAAGGAGGGGCGGCGAGCTCGCGCCGCGGCGCTCCTGCGCGACCCTAGGAGCGATGCGTTCTTCCACCGCCGTCGCAAGCTGGATCGTCGGCCCCCGCCGGCTCTTCCTGGGCGCCGCCCCGGCAGATTTTGAACCAAGTGCGAGACGTCGTTCCTGTAGTCCCACCACGGGTGATTGCGGCTGTACTTCGCGATGTCTTCAACGGTTGGGCGACGTCGCGACGTTTTCAAAGCCGCGGTGGATGCATCTTTGGTTGCCACCACCGCGACGACAGCATTGAACATTTCGCGACGCGCGGGTCGTTTCCACCAGCTATGCCAGACAAATTTGCGGCTCGAGGTGCCGCCAGCACAGGAGCGGCTTGCCGATCTTCTGCGTGTGAGTCCACATTCGGCTTCTCTGCCAGTGCACCTCCGTTCGGACGGGGCTGTTGTCGCAGAGGCAGCGGCGCTGCGAGGAATTTGCGTCTATGCTTTGTACAGGCTGCGCGGCGCTGTCACGCAGAGTAATGCCCCCCGTGCCGAGTTCGACGGCATGTTCGGCGAATTTGTTCGGGGGGGGTCTCGACGCCCCGCGCGGACCTCCGCGCTGGTGCTCACATCGCGCAGAAGGCATCGTGCTTAACCGCTCGCTGTGCCCTCCCCTATTCCTCTGCTGGTGCTGTTGTCGTCTTCTGCTCTCTTTCTTGTTCTCGCCTCCTTCGTCGCTGGTACAATCTCCTGGCTAGCGCCAGACAGCCATAAAGGGTTGCATGTCGCATCTCCTCCTCCCCCTCCTCTTCCCCCCCTTCCTGCCCCCTCTCCTCGGGCGGCTCCTTGCCGGCCCCCCATCGCCCCCATCGCTGCCTTTTTGCCATCGGGGGCGCGGGGGCGCGGCCAGCCATAGGAGCTCCCAGCCCCAGGCGCCATCCCTGGCGCATGGCGCGACGCCGCGGCGGCGGTAGTGACGGCGGCACGGAGGCGGCCGGGGCCGCCCTCCCACCGGCC